GGAGTCTTGCATTACACCCATATAATTGGAGAAAGGAAAAAAAGGTGGGGGGGGGAAGTAGATTATAAAGTCATCGACCAGTTGCTGCTCTGGGCTGCGCGCAGGCGAAGACGAGCCCCGTCCTCCCGGCCCAGCACGTGCTGCCGCTGCCAAACCCTCCAGCAAACCCCGACCTGCCGGAGCTGAGCTCCCGCGTCGGGCGAAGATGATGATCGCGATCAGAGTTTGGGCTTTATTTTTAGATAAGGCAAAAACTGGCTTTTCTTGCTCTTCTTTTTTAACCTAGCACAGTTGCAGTCACTCCCTGCACCAGCCAGAGAAATACTTACGCCAGCAGCCTTGCTAATTAAGACGTGAACACTAACTGCTCCATCATTAATAATGTCACGAGGTGAGAACTAATGCTGTGACTGACAGCAAGTAACTCCTCCTGGTGACGGGAGTGTTTTATCCTGGTGACGGAGGCATTTTAGACGCAAATCTAAAGTGAGGTTTTCCTCCCAAACATTTTTTTACCTCGCCAGCCCAGGCGGCTGCCCACCCTGCTCTCGCTTGCCTCTTTTTTTTTTTTTTTTAACCCCCCAAAACACCGTGTAACCAAGAGTTTGGTAGTATTTAAAGCTATGCAACAGCCTCTCGCAGGCGAGGGGGTGCCATCGGCGTACGCCTCCCCGCCTGGAGGAAAAGCCTTTCCCAGCCAGCCCCCCCCCAACCCCGAGCCCACAGAGGGGCTGCACCCCTCGACGTGCCTTAGGTGGAGGCGGCCGGTGGGTCGGCGTCTCGACGGCTGTAATTACAGGCACCGCAGGCACTTTAACCTGTTCCCCTGCGTGCATCTCGCCTTCGGAGCACTGGTTGCATGTACAGCGAGGTGTGCGCCGAGCAAGATCTAACTCCCACGGGAATCACTGCGCATCCAGCAAATCCCCGGGGCTCCGTGTCCCCGTCCCCAGCGAAGGCACCCGTGCGAGGAGAGCAGCGCCGGAGCCGTTTTCAGGCTCTGCAGCCGTCGGTGCCGCTGAGCCCGAGGTACCGCTTCACCTGGGGCAGCCAACGCGGCCGCGCCGAGAGAGGAACCGCTTCGTAGAAGCCGCTGTTATTTTAAGAATAAGGAAGGGGCTGGAGGCGTTGCGACACGCGGGAGGGGATGTTTGCAGCATTCAACTTCCAGATTTCTCAGCGCAGCCCGTGCGGCACTCCCCGGGATTTCAGATGCAAAACTTGCCTTGAAATTGTGTTACAGGAAACGCTTTTTATTTTGATTTTTTTTTTTTTTTTCCTTGAGGTGGGACCCCTCAGGAGCGTTAACATTTAGGAATTAATTTGAAAACAAGCAAACAAAAAGCCTCGTGGGGCCGAGTTAGGGAGTTTTGCAAAAATCCAGCTTTTAGGCAAGGCTTTGCCGTTAAGCCAGCGCGTGGTGAGCCCGGTTGGCAGTCAAAGCCCGAGGAGCCAAGCTCCGCTCAAGGTCAGGAACTGAAGGGTAAGATCACGGCGCTGTTGTGCTGGGCTGGACCAGAAAGGGCAGATGTAGCGCAGGCAGGGACCAGGACCGGGCAGGGCCAAAATAGCCAGAGCCAAACGCAAATCTGGTTTTATAAGTAGTAATCAAAGGATGAGGGCTGGGAGAAACTGGATGCCATCGACTTGAGAAACCACTTAGGATTTGCGTTTTGTGCCTCCCCATCTCTTGCCCCAGCCCTCTCCCGGGCTGTCTTTGTGCATTAGGAGCAGGCAAGGTCTTTCCCGCACCTTTTTCCCCCATTTAAAACAACTTGAAAATGGGCGCAAATGGGGAGGAATCCTGTGTTTCAGCAGGGATCAGTGTTTCCCGGCGCTCAGCACACACCGTCGCATACTCACTTTTGAAACGGGAGCATTAAGAGCAAATTGCGTTGGCTGGTCGCACCTCCAGCGCTGCCAAACCCGGCGAGCCTGCCGGAGAAACAAAGGCAGGCCTGTCCTCGGCTGGGGGTT